ACAAAATTTTAGTAAGGACAATGAATAGTTAAACTATGATGTGTGATCAGGCAATCTAAATGGAAATTATAAAAAAATTTTTATTGATATGGAATTCATTAATAAAAATCTCAAAAAAAACTATAAAAACTCTAAATTTAACTTTAAATATTCTAAATCTAGTTAATTTTATTCGATGTATTTAATTTGTTATTTATCAAAACATTTTAATCAAAACATTATTATTTTTATAAACGTAATTAACAATAGAGCATGTTTTAAAAAGCTGGCTTATGTTATGTTATTTTTAAAATTTAATTCAAAATTATATTTTACCTGCAGTTTGGCAAATAAGATTTATTTATATTATAGTCCTTTAATATATCAATCATAATACGTATATATACATATACAATATATTAAAAATTTGAAAAAATTAAGATTGAATATTTGTACAATAGAAGGAAAAAGTATGTTTTATTTATCATTTTTTAAATTTTTTGTAATGGACATATTTTCTTATGTATCGTGCTATTTTTTTAATATATTTATCTATAAATTTTATACATTTTATTTAATTATTTGTATCATATTTTTATGTTTTTTTCATCACATTAATTTTATTTGTTTGAGAGTTGTGTAATTGTTTTCATTGTTATCTTTTTTGGGGCAGTAATCTCTAATCTGCAAAATCTTTACCGAATGTATTCAATTAATAATAGTAAATAAAATAAAAGAAAATAAAAATAATTCTTAAAGAGACAAAGTTTAATTTAATTATTAAAAAATGTATAAAGCAGCCATAGTTTTAAATATTACATTTTAATCTTATAGTACTGGTACAGTACATTCATCTTAATAATTATACAAATAATTGAAGATTCTATTATATAAATTTTGCAGTTATTATTAATAAAACTATTTTTGATGAATTTTGTATCTATTTGTAACTTTTTACGAAAATATAAAACATTAACACAGTAGTTATTTTTATTTTATGAAGTTGAACTATGCCCTTTTAAACTTCTATATTTCATTTCAAAACTATTTATTATCGTAAGATTTCACGATTTAAATATAAATCGATCCAGACGTTTGCTTTAAATTATTAAATTTTTAAAAATCTGGACATTTCAATGAATGATTTACAGCAAATTGACGTTAAGTGTAAAAATATTTAATTTTACTTAATTGCAATGAGATTACAGATGCTTAGAAAACGTGTCTACATATCTATAAGCTTATTTTAATTTGTTTTAAAATTTTATTAATTTTTATAGAATAAAATTAATACGATTTATAACGATACTTTTACCAGATGAAGATATTTTCATGGTAATGAAAGCTTTAAAATGGAAAAGTAATAAAGAACTAGTTGTAAAGAATTCATAAGATAATAAAAATAATATTTATTAGTTAAGAAATGATTATTAAATATCACTTTATATAACCTTTATTAGTTAGTGCTTCGAAGAATAAATGAAGTTGAACTTGTGAGTTTCTGTTAGAGGACATTCTTTATAATGACAGTGGATACTTTATCCGGATACAGATTGTACTTGTGACTTGCAAAAAATAGGAAATCCTTTCATATATAGATATAAGATTTATTTATCTTAACATCCGATATGGTGAGATTTATTATGTTTAAGATTGTTTTGCAAACTCTGAAGTGAGACACCAAAAAGAGCAGGAAGAAATCTGTCTACTACTAGTTATAATAGAAAAAGATATCAATCTAAATAATGACTACGAAACAATAAAAAATCGAATACTTAGTCATTTAAGATATATTTTAATTTTAATTATTTTATATATTTAATTTTTAAATCGAAAAACCTGATTTTCATTTCAAGTCAGGTTTCTAAATGCTACCTTTAAGAAAATAATTAAATTTGTGTACAAATACATACAAAAACACTAATAGAAATTCTCGAGAAGTTTATACTTAATAATTGGATAATTAAATTAATTAAAATATTTAGTGAATGTTTCTAAAAACATTTTAATTATGTTAAAATTTTGAATTTGTAATTATAAACAATATAATTACATTCAAGCAATTACTAAGACATTCTTTCTGTTTTAAAAGTAAAAAACAAAAAAATTTATTTGACATTTATCGCAATGTTTCTACTTGAAAGTATCTTAAAATAGATTCTTAATGACATTCGTCTAATTTTTACCAAAACATCTAATATAGATGCTTAGAAATTCGTATTTGTAAACAAAGAATTATAAAGTTTAAATCAGATAAAACATTTATTGATTAATAATATTAAAATTTTAAAATAATTTTTATTAATTATTTTTTT